TGCATTCAACTTCCTTGTCTGAGTTTGTAACGTGAAGTCTGGCAGAAAGCCTGAATGGATATGGAAACACTTTTTATCTCCTTTATCACAAGGAATCACAGCTCTGCATTGTCTGCTTTTCAAGATCTGATATATTTTATACATCTTGTCCAGAATTAGAGTTGTTTATTTGTTGGAATATGTTCAACATCCATTTCTTCTTTATGACATATAACATTGAGGTTGAAAGCTTTGGGGACCTCACTATTTTCTTGCAGTAGTACTTAAAGTTTTGACAAATGTGTGTGCTCACAATGAGCTGAGCTTTTTTTTTGTTTTGCACCTATATAGTGAAACAATGAATTTTATAAAACATTCTTTTGGGGAAGTATGAATTGTCTGCCTGAATTTTCAATTCTGTGGCTAAATTTGTGATTTCTATTCTGTTTATTTCCATTTATTTTCTATTTTTATTTTCATCTAAGTCAGAAAGTCCTTCATTTTATTTAACTTTTATTATTTCTTTTGCAACAATAGAAAGTTTCTTTGTTGCATTTGTATGTAAATCAGCAGCATCATCATAAAATTAAGTGCTTAATGTGTGCTTTTTTAGGAATGATAGTAAGTGATTTGCATATATCATATTAAATACTCATGTTTTTATGAAATAATAATAAATAGGTAATTATTTGAGTATTGACAAACATGGTTGTGAGTTTTCCAATGAAGTACCTGATTTAATCCTCACAGCAACATTATGCATTAGTTTCTTTCAATATTCTAATTTCACAGGTGAGGAAACTGAGACGTCTTTTTGAAGCATGTACCCTCAACAGCTAATTACTTTTTAATCATAATATAAGAAGATCATTAACTGAGACGGGATCTCAAATCAATGTCCAAGAGACAGATTTGGACAGGACCAAAGGATTCCAATCACGATAGAGTTTCTTTACAGCCCATTGCAAAACTTATTTGGCAGTGACATGGTTAAAGCTATTTGCTGCCATAAAGCCCATGTTACTTATTATGTTCACCAAGGGATGCTACCCAGGAATGTACCCTAGAGGAGAGTGAGAAGTGTCCTCAGCTCTTATCTTCTTCTGAGTGAGTCAGTAACATGGGGCTTGAGGGGGAAAGGGGTAAAGAAGCCATTTACCAAGGTTTCTTATTAGTGCTCATCTAAGAATAGAGTTAATAGATTTTAAAGCCCTGAAAAAGAGCAGTATTGATGATTTAGAGGAAGAAAAAGTGCTTTTTAACTTCAGGTACCATCTAGGAGCCACTGAATAAGTTTCCTGAAGAATTTCTCAGTTGTACTGTCATAATAGATAAAACCAAATAAATGGGAAGTTAGGAGGTGGGCTAGTAACTCAGCCTAAATTCTCCATGCCTTAAATACAGTCTAACATATGTGTACCTAAGTCTTTAAGCAAATGGATTCTATGCCCTTTAAGGGAGACATGCTGAGAGGAGAAAAGAAATTGAGGAACAGAGTGGAATGGAAAGTTGCTGGTTTGTAAAGACAGTTGGAAAAAGCAGTCTGTTACCATTTGCATGATGGAAGGTAACAGAATGATGATGTGAACTGATAAATCCAGAGTGATCAAGGTTAATTTCAATTATTCCTAAATCTTTGAAGAATCATCTTTGAAGAGGCTCCTTGCATTTTGAGCACAGTAAGTATATTTAGGAAAAATTAAAGAACAGACAAATATTAGCAATGATTACTTATTTTCTAAGTGCTCTACAGATTAGGAACTCTTCCAAACACTGTCTTAATTTATCATCAGAGAAACCTATGAGATTGGTATGAAATTTAGTACTACTCTCCCATTTCCATTCTTTAGATGATGGGAAAAGTGAAACCAACATTGTATATGTATGTGCTGTCATTTTACTGTCACAGCAGAATATTGGCTTAATGTTGTTAATCTGAATCCTAATGTGATTGCAGAAGAAAACAGACATTGGTGCTAGGAAACCCAGCATGGTTTCCTACTCTACTCCATGAGGTCACAGGTTTACATCTGACTGAAAATCTTCTGGAAAGCCAAAGGGAAAAGTTCCTGTTAAATAAAAGCTTACAGTGCATTAACACTTTTGAATAAATAGCTCTTGGTTAAGTCCAAGTTTGTCCCAGTTATTTGTTTGTTTTCCAACGTTTTGTGCTTAAGACAGGACAAGAAACAGACACTCTGCCTTTTCACTTATCCCCTTCTGTTTCTTATCACAAAATCCCTTTACTCCACAATTATTTCTCTTTTTTAAAGATTTTATTTATTTATTCATAAGAGACACACAGAAAGAGGCAGAGACACAGGCAGAGGGAGAAGCAGGCTCCCTGCAAGGATCCTGATGCAGGACTGGATCCCAGGACCCTGGGGTCATGACCTAAGCTGAAGGCAGATGCTAAGCCACTGAGCCACCCAGATGTCCCCACAAGCATTTCTTTTTTTCCCCCCACAAGCATTTCTTAAAAATTAAGAAAAACTACCACATGCACACAAATTCACAAAACCCTTCTTTTTCTGCACAGTCAACTTAAGGCAATATACAAAACCAATATGCTCTACTTATCTGAACACCTGAGTACCTTTTCTCATAAGCCCATTTTTCAAATGCTAAGTGAAATAATGGCAGAAATTCCGAATACGCTCACACTATACTCATTCATTGTGTTTCTACCTCCACTTTTGAAATCTATGGACGAAGGAGGGAATGTTCAGTTTGTTAAGAAAATGTTGAAGATTTTCCTTTAATTTTAAAGAAACAGTGCAGCTTGAGTATAGTATGAAGAATTCATCGACAGCACTCAAACACTCCATGTGAATACACAATTCTTCCCAGCCTTCCCAGTCAATGTCTTCAAACATTTCTCCATCTTATTTTACCTTTGGGTCATCTCAGTAACTGACTAGAAATTCTTTTTTTTTTTTTTTTAATTTTTTTTAATTTTTTTATTTATTTATGATAGTCACAGAGAGAGAAAGAGAGAGAGGCAGAGACACAGGCAGAGGGAGAAGCAGGCTCCATGCACTGGGAGCCCGACGTGGGATTCGATCCCGGGTCTCCAGGATCGCGCCCTGGGCCAAAGGCAGGCGCCAAACCGCTGTGCCACCCAGGGATCCCTAGAAATTCTTTAATCTGGAGGAAAGAAAGTAGATTACAAGAGGAAAACCAGAAAAGGCCATCATATAGGAGGTTTTTAAACTTAGGTATTCATGGGAATTTTTTTATTTACTTAGATGTAAGGATAAGGATTGTGAATGAGTTAATCTGCTTGTTAATAGTTGGCTTTTATCTTTACCTTCATGCAACAATATCCAGAGTAAAAGATACTGAGTCAAACAGAATTATTTCCAGTCCTGGATCCTCTTTTATGATTGATGTGACTTTAATTAAGTTACATACTTGAATTGCTAAGGATAAAATTTCTTAATCTAGAAAAACCGATCTGTTAACTTCCAACACTTGAGATGCTTTCAAATCAAATATCTGAGTGTTTTGTAAACTACTTTAGATGGAATATAAAAGGAATAAATTAAACTTGCATATTTCTACTTGCAGAAGAAAAAGTGACAGAATTCATTATTGTTTGGAGCTACTTTTCAAAGAGGAATACTGAGTTATTCTCCAAGACATCTGAGAGAAAATGTGATAAAATGAAGAGAAAATCAGTATCACTGGAAAAGATAAGACAAAACAAAACTCTGAAGAGATGATTAAGAAAGATTCCTAAAAATTAAGTTGTTCTTGTTGGTTATTATTCTCAAGTTTTAGACTCCTGGGAAATTCCAGAAATCTCCTTCCTTTGTTTATGATTAGGAGGGAAGACAAAAGTTTCCAGACAATGCTTTGACTGGGTTCTTGAAAACTGGAGCTCATGATGGTTTGAAAGGGCAAAGGAGCTGAGATGGCAGAGAGTGAAATGGGAGCCAAAGTTCAAGAGAGAGAACATAAGAAAGACCCAACATGTAGTCTTAGATTATTGTATTTTTTTCAAAAATCAATAAGTGGATCTAAGTTCTGATTCCTTCACACATAAATAACGTTTTCTGATTTCTATGTACTCATCAGTATAATGCTGAATAATTATAGATAAGCTGCAAGGTCACTATTTCATTTTCTGAGAGTGGAATTCATTCTATTAATGTTCCACACACACAGCTCAGTTGGAGAATGAATCATATTTAGAAAAATTATCTAAAAATTTTGCCACAGTTTGACATTCTAAACCATGTGGGGGGTAAGGTTGTGCTGGTATGCTTTCACTGGAGGGCTTACACGTTAAAGTGGATTCTTCTGTATTGTTTTTTTTTTTTAAGATTTTATTTATTTATTCATGATAGAGAGAGAGAGAGAGAGAGGCAGAGACACAGGCAGAGGGAGAAGCAGGCTCCATGCAGGGAGCCCGACATGGGACTCGATCCCAGGTCTCCAGGATTACACCCCGGACTGAAGGAGGCACTAAATCGCTGAGCCACCCGGGCTGCCCCTGTATTGTTTTAATTATAAAAGAAGATGTCAGTCTGCAAAATTTGGATGTTTACCACACTGAAGTATCTACTGAAAGACAGTGTGAAGGGGAATTTGACAGGAAGTGAGGAACCTGCACTTTGCTCCCACATCAAGCACACTAACTACTATATAGGCACCTAGAGTTCACTTCCCAGGAGCTATCGTGAAAAGTTAGGATCTACACTGTCTTGGTTCCTTTCCAGATCCATGTTTCAAATTCTGATTTTGTGATAAATTTTGTTGTAGGTCTCCTAAGCCAGGTTTCCCATGAATGCAACATTTCCTTGGATAATTCAAACTAACCTTTGTTTAAGGGCTCCATGATTATCTATGAGCCTGGAGAAATGCCTCTCCAAGTCACAAGGTCATGGTTGTCAGGGAAACCCTTTGGGGAGTCAGTGAAGGGTCTCAGTTCATGGAGGAGGTTCTGACCCAGCAACTCCTTTGATTCCAGGGCCTGTGGTTTCACTTCTGCCTGGAACTCTGCCCACCAGGTCACCATGTCAGACTCCAACCACACCGGTACCTTTTTCTTCCTAGCAGGCCTCCCAGGCATTGAGGCTGTGCACAAATGGCTCTTTATCCCTCTGTGTGCCATGTATGTGGCCTCTCTGGTAGGGAACAGTCTGATCCTGTGGGTGGTGAGGTCAGAGCCCTCCCTGCACCAGCCCATGTACTACTTCCTATTGATGCTGGCAGTGACCGACCTGGGTCTGTCTGCCTCCACACTGCCCACTGTGCTCCCCATCTACCTGCTGGGTCTCAGGAAAGTGGCAATGGATATGTGTCTGGCCCAGCTCTTCTTCATCCACACCTTCTCCATCATGGAGTCCTCTGTGCTGCTGACTATGGCCTTGGACCGTTTTGTGGCCATCAGCAACCCCCTGCACTATGGCACCATCCTCACGAGCCCCCGTGTTGCTAGCTTAGGCCTGGCCAGTGTGGTGCGCAGTGTCGGGCTTCACATCCCTGCTCCCATCATGCTGAGGAAGCTGCCTTATTGCCAGAATCGCCTGCTTTCCCACTCCTACTGTCTGCACCCAGATGTCATGAAGCTGGCCTGTGTAGACACCCACATCAACAGTGCCTATGGTCTTTTTGTAGTGCTCTCTACACTAGGGTTGGACTCGGTGCTCATTGTTCTCTCCTATGTGCTGATCCTCCAAACAGTGCTGTCCATTGCCTCCAAAGCTGAGCGCCTTAAAGCCCTCAACACTTGTGTCTCCCATATCTGTGCTGTGCTGCTCTTCTACACACCGATGATTGGCCTGTCCATGATCCACAGATTTGGGAGGTGGGCTTCCCCTTCCAGCCGGGTGCTGCTCTCCTACGTTCACTTTCTCATACCTCCAGTGCTCAATCCAGTAGTTTACACCATTAAGACCAAGCAGATCCGGCTGAGGATGCTACGCTTCTTGGGGTCAGGTGGGGCTGGCATCAGAGACACTTAGGCTCAATAGATCTTTGGTAGAGAGAGAAAGGGCATGAAATAATTTGGTCATAGATGTTTAATGAGCCATTTCACATAAAGTCTCATAGTGAGAAGACTGTAACTCAGAGACAGCATCATCTTCATATGGAGTTCTCACTCATGGGAAGAAATAACCACATTCTCATTTAGTAAAGTTTCACTGAATACCTACTCTGTTAAATACACTATTATTGGCCCTATAAATAGAAATAGAACTAAGATACTGCCTCCATTTTAGAGGAAAGTTCATAATATTTAAGACTCATGAAGGGGACTGCCAATCTAAATGGAAAAGAAACTTGAAAGAATAACTTAGGGACCTTACAAATGCATAAAAATGCATGTAGTGCTTTGCCTCAGATCTTAGGAAGAAGAATTTTTGGCAACTGGAGTGATGGGTATATTTGGAATTCAGTGATATCAGAAGCATTTTTGAAAATCCCCACTAAAAATATTCCTTATGAGGAAATTCCTTCTGTCTTGTTAACCACTACATCCCCTTTCTTGTACGTAGCCTTTCCGTATATTAGGTATTTTATTAGTATTTGTGGAATAAAAGAATAAAAGTGTCTTTCAGAAGCTGTGTTTGTATCTGCATTCTCTGTATGTCTTCAATAAACTCTGCTCTCATTTGATTTCTACCCTGCATGAAGCCAAGGACCCCTTTTGGCTGGTCCTGTGGAACCTCTCTCTGGCTCCTGGAACTCAGCCAGTCTGCATCACTGGCAAGGATGAAATATTCATTTGAAATGCAATTCCAAATATGTGAGAATCAAACCTATGAGGACTTCTTAATTTTGCTTTTAGAGCATTTCAGGATTTTGCTGTTTTTCTCATTTTCTCAATATTACTTTCAGAAATGGTAAGGTTTTCTAGCTTTTAAATTGCAAATATCTGTGGCCAGAGTTATCAACACATATTTTTAAATAATGAGAATGAAGTAGGGATGCATGGGTAGCTCAGTTGGTTAAGCATCTACCTTTGGCTTAGGTCATGGTCTTGGGAGCTCAGCAGGGAGCTCTCTGCTTCTCTTTCTCCCTCTGTGTGCAGGAGAGCTAGGTCTCATGGAGTTGAAGAATGGATCTCTCAGACAAAAGAGAATGAATAAAGCAAAAGAAGTTTATTAAGCAAGGATACAGAGAAAGCTTTCAGAAGTGAAAGGGGTCCCTACAGAGTTGTCACTGAGGGCTTGTAGGGTTAGTCTTTTATTGGAAGCCAACCAGGAAACCTAAATCCTTTTAACATCTCTATTGATAACACCATAAAGAACTAGTGATAACATCTTCAATGATTTACTTCCTTTTTAGGGTCTAATAATTCTTTGTTGGTCACAAGTAGCTGTTATAACAAGACCTCACCTCTGATGCTTAGGACAGGATGGTCTGGTTTGGTTTCATTTCCACATTTTGGGGATTTTTGTGAGCATAATTCTGTGGCCCCCTATCTAGTCCTGCCTGTCCCTTCCTTATTCATGTGCACTCTCTCACTCTCTCAAGTAAATAAGTAAAATATTAAAAAAATTTTTTTTTCAAGCAATATTCTCTTAGTTGTAATTTTTTTTCTAAAAATCTCATCAGTCTTGAGCACAACTATAGATGAAGGATGCTTTGAAAATAAAAGAGGTCGGGATGCTTGGGTGGCTTAGCGGTTGAGTGTCTGCCTAGGGCCCAGCGCATGATCCTGGAGTCCCGGGATCGAGTCCCACTTCGGGCTCCCTGCATGGAGTCTGCTTCTCTCCCTGCCTGTGTCTCTGGTCTCTGTCTCTGTGTCTCTCATAAATAAATAAATAAATAAATAAATAAATAAATAAATAAATATCTTAAAAAGAAAAGAAAACAGGTGAATTTTATTGATATAGCCCTTGTACTGAATGCTGTGGTTATCCTTTGCATATACTTCATAAAACCTTCCTTTTAGTGTCCTCACATATATCACATTAAGAGGGAAACAGATTGGGCAGCCTGGGTGGCTCAGCTGTTTATCGCTGCCTTCAGCCCAGGGCCTGATCCTGAAGACCCAGGATGGAGTCCTATGTCAGGTTCCCTGAATGGAGGGAGCTTCTCCCTCTGCCTGTGTCTCTGCCTCTCTCTCTCTCTCTGTCTCTCATGAATAAATAAATAAAATCTTAAAAAAAAAATAAGAGGGAAACAGATACAGTAGGGGAGGGAAATAGCAAATAGTTGGATGTTATGATACAAAATACAGGAAAATGAAATAACTAGGAAAAATCTAATATAAGTAAAAAAAAAAAAAGATTAGCAGACCAGGACTAACTAGTCTCGTATCATTTACTTATCTCCTGAAATATCAGTAGACATACTACAATATATTCTATAACTGGAGTTCCTAATGATGAAACAAATTCTGAATGAGAAACCCAAAACAGAAGGTTTTTTTTTTTGAGTGACATGTTCAAGGAAAATATCCATATTACATTTTTAGTACAAAAAACCCCCTTCTGTTAATTAAGGATATCCCTTTGTGCTTCTGTCTGTAATAGCCATAATTAATATAAATCAATGCAGAATCACTAATCACTACATTTATTTGCTGAATATACCTGTTTCCACAATCTATCTCAATTAGGCTTTTTATTTTTCCTGATTGTAATGGCTGAGTAGATGATGGCACATTTTCCTGGCACCATAAATAAAGATGGATAAAAAGATGAAGAGTTCAATTCTGTGTATGTTTCATTTGAGTCTTCTGTAGTTAAACACCTATGTACAACAAATAACTATATAGTTATGAAACTGAGTTAGAGCTTCAAACACAGATGTGTTAACTATTAGTATAAAGATGAGTAAAACCATGGCATTGTTTTACTGTCCAAGGATTTCAAGGTAAGAAAGAATGAGCAGTGGCCAGAGAATAAAACCATAAGGAAATGAAGATTAAGAGACAATGGGAAAGTACTTAGTTTTAAATGGATTAAGACAAGGATAAACAAGTAGAGAGATCATTCCTTCAGAAGGCTCATAACAGATAATTTAAATAAGATAAGCTCTTTTCAACTATCTAAACTATTTTAGAATCCTGTCCTTACAATTGTCCCTTGCTGCCTTTAGGGCCTCATTACAGGTCCAATAGCTGAGTGTCCTCAGCCATATAGAAAAAAAGATTCTCAGAAACTAAATTTCCATGGCCAAATAGCTGGACAATGGGGAGACCACGGAGAACAATATACATTATTCAAATCATTGATCTGTAATGTTGTAATTATAACAACAAATCACCCAACAGCGAAGTGCAGGGGCTAGGTGATTTGGGGTGATTAGTCATTGAAACTGAAAATGGGAGACAAAGAAGTGAGATTCATGTGAGGAATGGAAGGACTTGGTTTTTTTTCTGTTGTTTTTTTTTTTTTTTTTTTTTGCTTGCGTACATATATATGTGTATGTAACAATGTAATAATTTCCTTCTGTAATTGAAGTCAGAGTGTATGGAAATAAAAACTCCATTCCCAAACCTCTATAACAAGAACAGTAGATATATATGGTACAGATATTTAGATTTCCCTTAGACATACATCGTAAAAAGTTTTCAGATAGTTTCCTCCATGTAGATAAAGAATTACATTCCTAATACATTCCTAATACATTCTCTTTGTTTCTGAATATATTACACAAGTAGCAAAGACACATTGACAAGAGCTGCCCAAGCTAACAAGTAAGGAAATAGCTAAGATTTTTTGAGTTGTCCTTAGGGAAGCTGTGCCATAAGACACTCTTGGTAAGAAAGCAGATAAAAAATGAGAGCAGAAAGGAGCTGGACAGGAGTACTAGACAAGAGGGCAACACTTATCACTCTGTAGCCTAAAATAACTGGCTATGTTTCCAGTAAGTATATTTACCTTGCAAAACTTTTCTTCTTCTCTCTTTCTCCACCTTCATATAGGCACAGGACAAGTTTGAAATTCCATATTGTAAGATCCATTTGGCATTGTTAGTCATAAAATATTAGAAGATTGAATATAATAACTACACTCAGATAAGAAAGTATATAAGGTGATTGAAGACATACCTATCTGTTGGAAATTTTTTAAAAATTATTTTAAAAATCAATTACTAAAAAAATAAAAATAAAATAAATAAAAAGCAATTACTTTAAAACTCATTTAAGCATATTTAGTCAGCTAATATCCAAATTGTGCTTAAATAAAGCATTCAACATAAACATTTTTTTAAAAATTTAGATGAAAGAGAACAGCTAAAGATCTATTGAGAATATGGCCACTGTTCTGTTCTCTGAACCTGGTATATAAAAAATTGTGAATAAATTAATTGTTGAGATAAATAATTACTGGCATATTTGTGAATTGCCTATCACATGAATTATATGACAAAACACTGACAGCTAATCACCAATCATTGAGCAATTAAAGAAATGGCAAAAAAAAAAGTACTAAGTAACTTATAAATATCTCTTGTATTTTTCAAATGATGGAAATCTAACAATTTTCATTTTGAGGTAAGAAACCAAAGCTTAGGGATATTTAGTAATTGATCACATAATTAGAAAGTTGCACGACTGGGATTTATAATATTCAGTTTGATTCTGAATCTGATGCTTTTAAAAATTGTATTGCCCAATCCTTTTCAAATTCATCCCAAAAACTGAAGAGGAGGGAACATTTCCTAACTCATCCTATGAAACCAGCATTATTACCCTGCTGCCAAAGCCAGACAACAACATTACAAGAAAAGGATATTACAGACCAATATACAGGCATCCTTCCTTTTATTGTGCTCTGCTTTATTGAAATTTGCAGATAATGCATTTTTTTTTTTTTAACAAACTGAAGGTTTGTGGCAGCTGGAAGTTGAGCTGTGTTTATTGTAGCTATAGATATGAGAAGTTTTTTTTTCTTTGTTTGTTCTTTATTGTTCTTTATTCCACTTTTGACTTTAGCTTTGGCAATGTACCCTTCCTTAGAGAAAAGTCTGTGTTTTTACAGAATATTCAGCTGTGATGGATTGT